AACCTCGTTTTGTTGTTTGAGTACCAATGTTATTTACAAATAAAACAACATAGTTTAGTACATTTTATTATAAGAAGAATCATAAATAACATTAGCATAAATAAACTAATTACTAACAAGTTGTCATATGTTTCATTTCCTTGTAGAATTCAACCTCATCATCCGTGCGGCTATACTTTGCGGTTTGCGGTAACCGCAAGTTTTGAAAATCAAATATCGCAACCGCAACCGCAAATGCGGTTCAGTTCTTAATACCGCAAATGCGGTTCGGTTTACCGCGATTGCGGTTTCATTGCGGTAAATTGTCGGTTGATTTTTGCGGTTTTTCGGTTTTTCGGTTTAAAATGCCACCCCTAACTACATGGTTGTACTACGTTACTACAATACAATTTTGTATAGTAGGTTATTCATAGTTTGTTATACAGTTGCTTGTCATCTATTCACGGTGGAGTATACCTACTAGGGAGGCTTTATTTTTTTGAAATATCGTTTGAGACATCTAGAAAATTGTATAGTGGGATTTTAACAAACTATTGAGTCCTGAGACATCTAATTTTGTATAGTAGGTTATTTATAGTTAGTTTTTTTATAGAGTTGCTTGTCATCCATTCACGTTCGCCAAAAAAAATTTCATCACACTTAGATGTCTCGATAGTTTACGATTTGTCAAAATTTTTTAAAGAATAATCTATGAATGAAGACTTGAAAAATATACGATTCGACTCCTTGAAATAAAATGCGGAATAGGCCGACAAAGTGTCCCTTGAATTAGCTTATTTATATCCTCAATAAATTGGCAGGATCGGAAATCACAAAATAGGAAAATATAAACAACATCAACTAACAGCTATTAATCAGCTAGTAACACACTAATTTTCAGGTAGCTTTACATGCTACCAAAAGGAAATCAAGACAACCCAGAAAAACCACTCAAGAGAAGGCAAGAGCTTATTGCCTATGCGTACGGGTGTAAATGAAGAAAAACACGAAAAACAAGTAGAGGACTGTCTTTCTAAACTACAACCCTAAAGTAAAAACATGAGCTCATTAAAACTGACTGGATCAAACATGGTTTAAACCCTATATATACATCAGGATAAAGTCGGGTCAGCGAGGGCCTAATGTGAGAGTCGATGAAACCGGTAATGTTCATGACAAAGAATCATACAAGAGTGAAAGTTAACTTGTAAGAAGAGTCCAGAATTCAAAGATAAAAGGAAGATACTCAATAAATATAGTTATCATCAGAACGAGAAAGCACATGCAACTCAAGTTAAAATCTAACATGCTAGATTGCGTCTTAATATGAGCGAAATGACCAAAGAGCTATGAGTTAGGATATATTTCGAATTACAATGAAGAATTGATTAAAACAGAGCCTTTAATGTAGATTTACTATATCTATAACTTATCCAAAATCAAACAGGTTGTTAACATTTTACAGCAGAATTTGGAGTTCAGCCAGGCAATAAACAAGGGAGAATAACAGTGAACAAAACCCAGTTCTTGCATAGGACTTTCATATAGCAGTCTTGAATGCCACTATCTTAGCAAAACAATAAGAATCAAAGCTTCAGTGAAAGCAACTTCTATCTAAAATTAAATTAAAATCCGTAGTTTGAGTTCTGAGAAGGCCCATCCACTTCTAATAGATTCGCTCTTGAATTACCAGTTGCAAACCTCTTACATGGCCTTCTACGCCTAGTTTGTAATTATACCACAACTGAAACAGATTCCTATGGTTTCCTCAGGTCTGAAACAAATTAACAAACAAAAATAATTAATAGATAGCTTTCCGCAATGTTGTACTTGGAAAATGATGAAAATGACATTATTCTGGAACAGAACCTGAGCTAGACACTATATCAAACATCTTATCATCAGCAGAGCCATTTAAACTATAACCAATAGAAATTTTCAATTTAAATCGTACCTTGCCAATGAACTTCGCATTATGGTGAGTAAGAAGACAACGGGTCCCATTTCAGTGAAATGTGGAATGACTGAATGCTGGTATATGACAAACCAGGTTGAAACTATACATCTGTCCTAATGGGAGCACATGGTTTAGTGTAACTATCAACTACTATGTTCTGCACAGTACTCTCCTTGTGATTGATAATAAACCAAAAAAACTGTCAGCCAGACCAAAAAACGAAAAAAAGGTTCATGGCAACACGAAAATGGCATCATGGTCTTTTTCTCTCCACGAATTTTTTTATGGAGGATTTTAATCACTTGTCCAAATCTAATGTTAAGCTAGCACAAAATTTTGCATTCTGCAGTAAATGTCTAATGACAAGAAACTGTCTGATCAGTAAATGTCCGAATAACAACTATCTGAAGAGTTTAAGACAGCACCACACAGGAAAATGACATTGAATTAAACTCAATTTCCGATTCCAAGGCATGTAGTAGATTTTAGCCTACTCTTGATAGGATACGAATTTGCAGAATACATATGAAGTATATCAATCTATATCTTCAAAAACTTAAAGAACAGAAGCATGATAACCAACCATTTATTTATACTTTAGCAGTAACCCCTATTAAAATCAGTTCTCTCAATCTTGAAAAGAAGAATGATAGCATTGCTCTTTTTTCAATACAGTAGAGCATAAAAATGGAATATAAACAGCTATCAGGAAACAAAAATAGTGGAAATCAGCAGTGTATATATAACTGATTTCCCCAGCATTTAAGTTATCAACATTATTTTCTGCCATGGCAGTAATGAGCGCGTGCATAAATCCTTTCTTTAGAGTCTCTATAGGCACTAATGAATTGGTATGTCTTGATTTCAATTTTCACATGGTGGCGGCACTTGAAGTAACGACCAGGAAAATCAAAATTAGAAGCTAATGACTAACAATACAGCAGAAGACCACTGGTTAGACAAAATAAGAAAAATCTGGACTGCAAAAACAGTGGGGTAAAATCATATCAGTTCAAAACTAGTGTACAAAGTAATTAAATAACTCGTATTTTTACCATAAAGAGAATCATTCATAAAAAGATCAAATAAGCCTAGCCTAAAGGAGAATGAATGAGCTAACATATTTTGCATATGTATAGCTATTAAAGCATAGCAAGAATGATGCAGAAACGATACCATGTTAGCAAAAGAAGATAAAAGGAAAAGCATGCAGCCAAACTTAATATGAGAGTTAAAGGATGAATGGCAGAAAGGATACAATTCACGAGGGATGTTACTGCTGTCTCCAACATTCCATGGTCATGTTAAACATGATATTTTTTACAAAAATAAAATAAAAATCAACTTTGTGTGGCAGCAAAGAGAAGAGAAATAATAATGGAAACTATAAACAGAAATAATAATGGAAAATATAACCAGTGTAAAACCAAATCCCATATATTATAACTCTAACCTCACTTTCACTCATCTCATACAAATCCTTAACCACTCATTCAACTCTTGACTACCCTAAGCTGTTGTAAGAAAGACCTTAAATACACCGTCTTGTTATTGCTTCTTGGCCAATATCAACTTCACAGAAATACTATTTCAAACGATCACACAACTTTCTTGTTCAATTTAAATTTCTTCGTTTCTAATAAAGTGTTGATTTGTCTCTCAGGTCTGGTTTGTTGGGCCCTTGAAAACAGGGATAAGGCTAGAAGATTTGATGGTCATCTTCCTTTTACTTTTACTCACATCTGCTACCAGTAATACCAAACTCATCTTCAATCCCACCAATGGTATTATCAACCAACTACACCACGATCCTCATCCTCATCCTCATCCTCATCCTCTTACTCATCAACCTAATTGTGATCATCATAATTCAGTTTCAGAATCAACTGCACAATTACGTTCTTTGTACATAGAATCCACCGCTACCCATCTTCTCAGCTCGCTGATGATCATGAGATTAATCCAAGATATGGTGTCCAGAAGATATTAGTCCTCTCTGGACCCAAAACCCTTCACAACTGAATCCTAGGTTCGTCTGGTTTATCGGAGTCGTACTCATAAAACAAATTGTTAACTGACTCCTCTTCGGAACTGGATTGGTTATTACCGATATCATCAACATGTGGATCTACTTCTACACCATCACCTTTACTCTTCTTGTATAAACCTTTGCTCCTATCCAGGAGCCCTTTTCTTAACAGCCTTGCAAATCTTTCCCTCAAATCTACAGTGGGGTGTTTTTGCAAGAGTTGTTGATGGTTATAAGCTTCCCTTAGAATGACAGTTTGAGTGGCACACTTTTTTGAAATGTAGAAAATACCTGGATGGCGCTCAAACACTTTAGTGAACTTCTGGGGTAGGGCCAAAGGTTTACGAAGGTTACTCACATTCTTACGCTCAGTTTTCTTGTGTATAGTTAGTTGAAGAAGCTCATGAAAAACCCCTACAATCCTCTTCTCCGATACATCTGTACGAGGATCTAAATGAGAGGCATCAGAGTACGGCGAAGTATAAGGGAGGGTCTGCCACTCTTTCAACCACTCCATGCATTTTCTCTTCAATCCAAAACCCCTCGTAAATCCAACAGGAAAAGCTAAACAGCCACTTCTTGCATCTTCTTCCTTCTGTTGTATAGCAGAATTCTTTTGCAATTGGGAGACAGCGAGGTCCTCGTCCCAGGATAAGAGCTTCAAGCCAACACGGTCATCGGGGAGGCGGATGAAAGAGAATAGGTCAGGGTGATGTGGAATGACTGAGTGCTGGTAATCATATGGCAAGCCCAGGTCCCATTTCAGTTGGTCAAGGGTTTGTAAAGGAAGGGTCCAACCCTGGGTAAGCATGAGCAGTTTTTGAAGCCTATTAATGAGATCCACCTGATTCTGCTGAAGGACATTGAGTTCCTCATGGTAGAGTTGTAGAGCTTCAGGAGTCAAGCTAAAGCATGGGACACGAGCACCTCCACTCCAAAATGTGTGGGACTCAACAAAAACAGAAGGAAATTTCCTAATAAAAGTAGAGAGCTTCAGATCACAAGGAAGACTGAGTTGTCCACGATGGCAAGAGAGACGGTATATGGGGAGGCAGCACTGAGGTGAGGATGAGATAATGGAAACAAGAATACAGGCAGCTTTGAGATCTCTCGCAGCAGTCACAACAGCATCCAATCCCCTATCTTTCACCCATTTCAACTTCACATTCACAAGACCACGCTTGTGCTGGTAATTAAATCCATGCTGACACCCACGGAAGAAACCAAACCCACCAACTTTAACAAATAGAAAAAACGGGACCATGATCCTTCTTGGTAAATATAGATGAGATCAGCAGCATTCTTACATTTCATTACATTGTGTGTTTTGGTAGCCTAAAGGGCAAGACTTTGTGCCCAAACAGTACAACTGCAAAAGGAAAAATCAACACTTGAATAAACAACAAAACATTCCCGCAAAACAACTATTGTCATTTGTCATATGAGAAGGAAGGAAGCCATCAAATACATGAACTTAATAAAGTAAGTAATTCCGGGAGGGACCGGGGAATGACAATTTCTTTCTTTTTTTAAATAAGAAATATTGATTTATGTCTAATGATGCCACAATTGGAACAGAATTACATCTTTCCTCAGCCTTAAAAAAACAAAGAAAAGAGAAACGACCTTAGCAATTAGCTTCCCAAATTCTCTGCTTGAAAAACAACAAAAATGGCATTGCTCTAGAACACAATCTGAGCTAGACATTTTATCGAACATCTTAGAGGCGAAAATGATATAAAGCTATAGTTATGCTAGTGCTGACTAAAAGGACGAAATACAACAGCAAGCATTAAAGAAGAAATAGATTATACAACAATCAAATTATTAATCGACCCACCAGCTCACTACATACCAGATGAATTTGTATTTGTTGCCACTGCAAACGACAATCAAACCCAATAATAATGAATGAAAGACTAAGAAAAAGAAGAAACTAACCTTTGAAAGAAACCCGCAACAACCCGAGACAAAAAAAATTTGGAGAAGAAGACTACTTCTCAATGCATTCAATGTGACGGCTGCCATATGAACCCCCCACGCAACGCCTCCGAGTCCTGCTGGGCAGCCTACCAAGCCCTACCCTCCGAGTTCGTCGCCAATTTCTACATTCGCACCTCCTGTTGGCTTCAAGACCAGCTGGATCTCACGTCCCCAATAGCTTTGTTAAGCTTGATTTGGGTATGTGTCGGAGAAGTGATCGGGTATCGTTGGGAATGGTGGCTGGGAGGTGTGGGAGGAGGTGGTGGATGGTTTCGGCGGGTATCGTTGTTTTAATAATCTTTTTTAAAAGTTATTTTCTTCTATAAAAAAAAATAGGGAGTTTCACTAAAACACCCAAAATGGGGGCTGAAATTATAAAAAAAATCCAACACTCAAAACACTTTATAAACATACCAAAAACTCATCATTACACACCCTCAAAACTCATTTATAAACACACCCAAAAAATATACAATTGTTGATTTTGAATGTGTTTCTATGTTTAAATAGTGTTTTGATTTTTTTATAAATACATGTCTAGGATTAGGTTTATTTATAAATTTATATAATAAAAAAATTCATATTTTATTATTTTATTGACGCATTATCACAAAAGTGGTCTCTCACTCGCCACGTTATCAATTTAATACAAAATTAGACGATGAAATAAAAATTTTGATTAAATCTTGAAACATTCAGTTGTAAATTAATGAAATTGAAACTCCATACCTATTTTTTTTATTTTTTTTTCGATAATCCATGTTTCCATTTCCCTTATACCCACCCTCTTTATTTCTTTTTTTTTTTTTTTTTTTTTTTTTTTACACGTGTCCTCTTACTTAATAGAAAGTTAACCAACAAATTCATATCTGGATATCCCTTTGGGGTCGTTTGGTACAATGGACTGTCATGGACTAAACTAATTCCCAGAATTGTCTTGGATTAGCTCAGATTGGACTAAGTTGGATTATAAAAATAGTGAAGACCTATGTTTGGTGCTCTGTCGGACTAAAAAATAATTATTTAAATATTTAAATATAATTAAGATTTAACCTAAAAATAAATAATTAAAATTAACTAATTATACAAGCCAACCGTGTGAATTGAAAAAAAAAAACCTATAACAATAAAATATGATGCTGCCACCCCTCTCTCCTTTTTAGGTTTTTGTGTTTTTATTTTCTAGTATTCTATTCTTATTTCCTTCTTGGTCTCTCTTTATTCTTCTCTCTCGTTTTCTTCTTCTTCAACTAAGCTGCTAAAACATCACCAGCAAGAAGGAAACTACCAAATAAAAATAGGAACAGCACCCAAGTTTCTTCTTCTTTTCTTTACTTCCGACTTCTTTCTTTGTTTCTTCTCTCTGTTTCGGGTTCATTATTATTATTATTTTTTTTTTTTTGGGTACTGTTACGAATTGGGATGGAGAATGGAGAAGAGAGATGGTTATGGGTTCTGCTAGTGGCTGGGATGACGAAGAAAGATGTTCTGCGAGTGCTTGGGCTTCTCTATGTTGGGTTTGTGCATGGCTGAGGGTGGTGGTCATGGGGAAGAAGAAATCAAGGGGGGGCATGGGTGCTGGGTTCTACCTATTCGGGGATCGGATTTGTGGTGGTGTTTGATTCAAGCCATAACGAAATCCAGCAGAACTCACCTGTTCAAAATAGCGACTATGCTATTTTATGAACCCAATTTCGAGCTTGCTAAATTAGACATGCAAATTCGGGCTTTTTTCAATTGTTGGACTATATAATCTCATTTAAGTTAATCCTCTCCATTGCCAAACATGGATTTCAAGTCTTATGTAATCCAATCCAGTCCAGTGAGGCACAGTGAGGCATAGTGAGGCATACCAAACAACCCCTTTAACTATTATGGTCCCTTTATTTCAACAAACACACCCTTTTTGTCTCCCTTCTCCCTTCGCACTGCTGCCCCAAATTTAGAACTCACATGTCCTCTGCCTTGACTAGAGTGTCAAACGGGCCGTGCCGGGCCACCCATCCCATTTAAACTCGTGCTTTTAACGTTTTCATGTCGTGCCGTGCCGGCCCATTTAGTAAAATCATTGATCCCGGCCCGGCCCAAAGCCCATGTCCACATTGAAACGGGCCAGGCTGTGTTCGTGCTGTGCCCGTGCTCGTGCTCGTGTCATACTCCGACCCAAGAACCAGCCCATTTAATTTAAAGTTTTTTCACTTGATTTATTTTTTTTCACTTGATAATTCAAATTATAAACATTAAAAATATAATTAGAGGCAAGAAATGATGAATTATTAGAAAACATTAATCAATCAAACATCCAAACAATATAAAAGGCTGAGGGTAAAAAATATACAACTCCACAAAGTCCACTTCAACCTTTTATCCTTAAACAACTTATTATTTTATATGTGAAGAAATGTCTTGCTTTGATTATAAGATAAGCGTATATGTCATATGTATTGATTAGATATCAAGTCCAATGTTGTTAAATTAATTTGTGGTTGATATGTTTAATTAATTAAGGATCCAAGAAATTTCCTTAAAATGAAAGACATAAAATATATGTTTATGATTATAAAAAAATAAAGAAAAACCATATAAACAATGATATTAGATGTCAAATTTTTGCATTTTGACTTTTGAGAAAGAAAAAAAAAAAAGGTGAAGTGCGCCGTGCTTGAAACGGGCTCAAGCCAAGCCCGGCCCATCTCGGGCCGTGGGCCGGTCCGGTCCATTAGACCTCATTTTTTATCCCGGCCTAGCCCAAGTTATCGTACCGTGCCAAGCACGGCCCATTACTATTCGTGCTCGTGCCTCATTTAAACAGGCTGGGCTCGTGCCGTGCTGGGCAGACCCGTCTCATTTGACACCTCTAGCCTTGACGACGTTGACAAGCTTCATCTCGAGCTTGACTTTCCTGCAGCTCCATCATGACCTTGACTTTTTCATTCTTGGTTTACCGACTGAAATCTTCACGAGCTATGAAGATCAAACGAAAAGCTTTGGGAAAAGTGTATTTAGTTGGGCCCATAGCTTGATCAACTCCAGCATTTATTTCTTCTCTTAGACCCAATCTTCAGCCAAAAACTCATAAAAAACCCAAACGAGGTCCTGTTTGAGAGTGCTTCTGGAAAGGTTAAAAGCATTTTATGACAACTAAAAGTGCTTCTAACAGCATTTGACAAAAAAGTTTAGAAGCGTTTCTATGTCATAAAAGCGATTTCTGGAGAAGCACCTACTATGTGCTTCTTCAGGAAGCATTCCCAAGTGCTTTTCTAGGAAGCACTTGGATTTTTTTATGAAAATTCAAGATTATACAAGCATTTTTGTTAGAAGCGCTTATGAGCAGAAGAAGCAATCCTAAATGAGCCCGTAGGGCTAGTTTGGTATTAATGTGCTTTAAAAAAAATCGTTTCTACTGTGCTTTTAGTAGTCAAAGTGTTTGGTGAAGTTTTATCAGAAGTGCTTCTTGGTGATTCTATTTTTGGCAAAAAGAAAACCAACTATACTTAAAAAAAATCTTACTCTACACGTTGCACGCAAAAACTCTCTCATTTTCTAATCCAATCCACGCAATAACATTGTTGCCTCTTGTAGGGGGTCTTTTTGTTCCAGCAACTATTTGGGCCTAAATTGGCATACCCAACATAAGGAAATAAAGCTCATCTCAGTTTTGGCAGCCACCAAACACCTCTTTGAAATTGGGCCATAAATACACATTCAGCCCAAAAACAGTGAAAGCCCTAGCCCAACATCAAAGAACCCAGCCTTTAGTAAAAAAAAAAAGAGGCCCAAGTCCCTTTTGCAAAGAAAAGAAAAACCCACTAGTGCAGAATCAAAATGAAATATCAGAGACTTAATTAAAGCCTATTCTTTCAAAGAACCCACGTGACCATCAGAAATGGAGAAGTCAACAATCTCAACTATCACAGAGTTGATTGGAAATTTTAAAAGAAAAGGGCAGTGGCTGACAAACTAGGAAGAGACATCTCTGAAAATCTGCCAGCCAAATATCAAAATCCCTCTTATATATTCAATGATATTGTTTCCACTCCAGAGAGGCACCATCTTCTAAGGGATATGCAGGCTATGTTTTCAGAAAGGAGATAAGCAGGAAAGAAGGGATTTGTTCAAACTGAAGAAATCAAATTAACCATCACGGTTGAAATCACACAAGCGGCAGTTAAATTGGGAAAATGAATTAGGTTTTCTCTTGAAAATAGGGAAGTGATCTCTAAGATTGATTGATGAAAGCCTATCTGCCAGAATTTAATTAAAAATCTTCCCTCTCTTATATCTTTTTGTAGATCTTTGAGAAGACTTGCCGCCCATTATTTTAAAAGAAAGAAAAACCCTGCCCCTATGCATTTTTTTTATATATAAATACAAGAGTGAGTGAACAGGGTACAACACAATCACAATCAAAATCAAAAACAAAACACACTCAATTGATCAATCAAACAAACAACAAGGAATCAACCAAAAGCTCACTCAAACTCCAAGAGAAGCCAGTTTTAGATTAGAATTCCCAAAGTTCAGACTTAGAAAATAAGTCATTTAAAACGAGATTTCTCTCGTTACAAATTTGGTTTAGCAAAAGCCAAGACAGGTAGAGTTTGAGTTTTTCCCAAAACATGAAAACCTCAAAAAATTTCACAGTGCAGTCCTTAGTACATCAAGTCCTCAAGAACAGCCACTTCTACCCCTTTAGAATTGAAGAAGCCACAGTTTTATCTACTCAAAAGCCTCGCAAAGCTTGAAGTAGATCAAAGCTCTGCCAAAATTGAACTTTGGTATCGATTTACAACTTAAGCTTAACAGTTGAAGTTGTTAACAGTTCAGTCTAGCCCAGACATATCCAGTCCAGCCCGGATTAGAGCCCTCTGTCCAGGCAAAAATGGAGTCCTAATTGTCTTTTAATGTTTCTAGCGTTGATATGTATGTCCATAGTTTTGTAAAGGGCAGTTCTGCCTAAAACAGTCCAATTTTTATCAACTATTCTGGCCAGAACAACCGTTTTTATACTAAGATAAATTATGAAAGTCCTCACTAGCCTGAGGCATGAAAAGAACTTACTTGGGAGATATTCCTCACCCAAATTCATAATCGTTTGTTTTAGAAATCAGTAACTTGAGGCGCAAGCTATCTATTTTCTAGAAGAAGCCTGCTATAGTCTTCACTGCTAGCAGTGGCACGCTCATACACCAAAGAAAGCTGTCTTGTTGACCAGTCAATGGTTTCCAAGGCAGTGGGGAACTTTGCCCTTCCATCTCAGGAGTAAACACAAAACGGGGTGAACAGC